CTCCACCTCATGGACAAGAGCTTCACTGTCCCAGTGGCTACAACCTGCCACAAAAAGAAGCCAACAGCAGTGGAAAAGGAGATTTCTGCTAGCTACAAGCATTTTCAAGCACTGTTTGGGAAAAACATAGCTGTCTCATCATTTTGAATGCATTCTCTGCAGTGGTAAATTAGTGCATGAAGTAGGACAACAAGTTATTAACATAGACTATGACTGGGAAAGACCAATTAGCTAGGTATTCTACTGGCCACTACATTTTTTTTTGGTAGGAATTGATCCTTTTGCGGAATAAACCAAAGACTCTCATTAACTTTAATGCCACTGACACTACCTAAAGTAAGCGCCCAAAGTCTTTCAGTGTTCAAGTCGAGAGGTTATGTGCGTCTGGACCATATTAGACCAGTGTAAGTCTTAGAGGATTAGTCACAATCTTCTGGTCAGTTGTGGATGAAAATGAGCATTCCTCTATCCCGTTTGGTTGTTTAAAAAGACAGCAAGACTCTAGACCAACTGCTCAATTTGAGAACAGATGTGTCCATATATGAGAGTACTTTGAAGGAAAATACATCCTTAGTGTTTGTCTCATGCCCAAGACGTATCTTCTGATTCTCACCTTCAAGTAGCTGCCTATTATTTCAGTACCACTTCAAGCCATGGAGAAAGCTCATACTTTCATGTTTGTTTGACTGACATCAGTATTTCCAATGCACTCTTTAACCCAGCTGTTGCTCTGCCAGTAGTCCTGTTAACTACCCAGAAGCTCTGTAAACTGTAAAATTAAATGCATTATGTCCCTCCAAATGAAACTAGTGACAATATTTTAGCTAGACATGATGGTATTTACTTAGGACTGTACTGTAGTCCTTCAGAAAAAAAAAATCTGCAAAGTCTTTAAAGCTCACACTGTTATTCACATCACACAGAACACATCTAGCACACATTCCATCCTTTCTCTCCCCACACACCAAACCATTTTCCCAGTTAGTCATCTTTCCTGACCCTCCTTTTCAACATAAACACTGCTTCTTAGTAGTCATGAAATTCACCTCTCTTGTGCTTGCATAACTTTTTTTCAGCACAGAGAATTGTGCCACAAATGCAATGATTACATAATTCTTCAATTGGCCTCCAGTAGACATTTTACACACTAGTATAGCTGCTTGCATTCATTTCTATAACGTAAACAGATGCATGTCTCCTATGATGAGCACTACGCTCTTATGCATACCACATTGATTTCAGCTTCTTCCTGCAGCCTATCTAATTCTTAACACATGCAATTGTAACTCTGCCAATCATGCACAACATGTCTACCACAATACAGCTGTACTTAACCCAGTCCACTCGTAAACAACAGTATCTCATACTCATTGATGTACCTGTCTTCATTGACTGTATACATTTTCTCCTTTTGTCTTCTACCCTCCTTGAAGTTAACTCACAACCTTCTCTTGCTTCCATGTACACTTACATGACATGGCCTCCTTGCAGTTGTATGCAACCTCCTTAAAACCAAGAGGCAGATCACCGCAAATAGCTTATCCCCTTATTGACTTTTCCCACTCTTCATCACTCTTCCCTCCCCTATAAGCTACTTTCAAGCCCCACACCCAGCTCTCTAATCTTTGCCTGCACTTCCTTCATTTACTTTGAGCCTGCTGTATGCAGAATGCTCTCTTATTAGTCATGACTTAAAATTTCTTTCATCTTTCCTTCCGCAGGCCTTACAAGCACAACTGCCATGTACCTTTCTTGCTATCATACACCATCATGTGTCTGCCCATGTTGAGTTCCTCCCTGTTCTGTTCACTCCCATCCATTTCACTTTATGACCTACAGCTACAACTCTACTCCCGTCATACTGCACACTTTCACTTTTGACTCTAGTACAACCATGTATCTTACAAAGTCTTCCAGGTATTTAAACCTCTCATTCCTTTTCTTCCCACTACTTTATATCTTTAGCCATCACTCAGCTAGCACTTTTGCACCATTTTCTCATACTGCTTTGCTTACTTAGTACCTACTACAACCCTCTTGGCTTACATCCCAATTCTCCTAACAAAAGAAGCTTTGCTTTTAATTCATGTACGTGTTGTGACACCTACACTCACTGCTCTTTACTGCTCTCATTGTTTTCCTCAGCTGTTGCCCCTGTACCATATTGCCTGTTCTTTCTCAATATTATACCAACTACCTAGAAAGAGGCATCTTTTTTTTACTTTTAAATGCTGACCAAGCCACTCTTGTCCTCTGCACTATTTTCGTTTGCCTATGAAGCCATGTACAACTCTAAATTTCTTGCCCCATACCTTGTGTAAATCACAATTTACCCAGGCATCTTTGCACAAAATCCAGCTTTAATTTTGTCTACATGTCCTTCAGATCCTTTGTTTTTCACCATTCTCATATTTCTTAAGACTTCCTACATTTTTATACACCTTCTACAGTTCACACTGCACTCAATGCTCATTAACTTGCATTTTCTTACAATGCCTTTACATAGCTCAGTTCTGCTTTACCTTACAACCAGTTACCAAATACCTACAGCACTCTATCAGGCTTTCATCCTCCACTGAAATTTTTCCCAGCTATTAACTCCTTGTATATTTTTACAACTCCCTATACATTTTCCCCACCATCACACATTCAGTTTCTGCTTATTTCCTGCTCATTTTTCCTACCTATTCCTCTCCTTGGCATGTGTTCCACCACCACACAAACCTTCACTTCCAAATCCTAGCATCTTCCTTACAAATATCTCTCATTTTCCAGTTCTTGACAGTTAGAGGATCGCCTTTAAACTCCTCACAAATATCATGTATCTGACTATTTTCTATACCTTTCTCCAAATATGTAATAGTTTACATTTTTCTTACTTCTTCAAACATGCTATGTGTCCATGCTTTAATTCATTTTCCCCCTACTTTTATTGCATACCATAACTGACTGTCACAGGCCCTAACAAACTTACCTGTCTATCTATATCCTCAGCAACCTACAGTTTGCACCTTTTCCCCATGTCTTCTATTTCTTACTTCCCCTTTTAAGCTTCTAAACCTCTTTCCACCCACAAAGATCCTCTTTTTTTTCCATATTCCCTATTGTATTTCTCCTTCTATGCTATCTTTGCACCTTTGCTCATCTGCCCTTAGTAACCAAATATACAGCATTTGATACAAAGCAGTTTATTTTCAGCATGTAGTCCCTTTCCACAAAATTCTTTGTTGCTATCTTTTTATATATAATTTAATTTTTTCTTTCTTGGAAAGAAAAAAAAATCCAAAATCTATGTGTATCCCACACTTTAACATACTGCACCCTCTTACACAAAAGCACTGCCATCCTAGCCTCACCGCTACATCTTCTTTTTCCCATATTTTGGTTCGTCCATCTGCAGTCACACACAACTTCCCTCCCACTACCATGATCACACATACAGCTTCTGGTGCTGACATGTATCTGTGACTAGTCTTTTTACTACAAGCAGTTGGAGTAGTGCCGAACTTTCTTTCATTCTCTGCTGCTTTTGTCTGTCTTGCCACAAAGCAAAAATAAATAAATAAATATTTTTTCCCCTGATGACTTATTTATGGTTTTTTACTTCCACCACTCCTCTGCTTATATGCTTAGACAGGTCAGGTATTTCTGTTCCTGTATATGTCTCTTCTGTTTGTCTGGGTATTTTCCTGAAGGCACAAGATAAAGGCAAACTTTACATACCATTTGCACTCCTCATACAAAAAAAATCACACAAGCCTAGCAGCAAAATCTCAGTGCTTTCTGGTCCTACTGTAGCTCATAACAACCAACTGGACCATATCTTTGTCTATTTAAAAAGGAAAAAAAATTCACTTCCCACTACACACTCCTCTCTAAATAACTGGTTTTGCAATATAGGAATCGGAGAATGCATGCAAAGCAGCCCTATTCAGTCCAAAATATCCATCTCTCCAGATACTGCATATTTATAGTTCAAGAGATAGAACCAACACAGAGCTTTCACGTTTATTTTAATGAAGGATTAAGAACTGATCAGAAAACTATCTAAACCATTCAAGGACTTTTTCCCCTCTTGGCTAATAACAGTTTGGTGTCTCCATAAGGCCTCACCAGTAACTGACGCTTTAAGCTACATTTCAGCTGTTTAGAGGAGTAACAGTTTTCAGTTTTCCTCTGTATGTGTCTGTGTTCATTATTTGTGTTCTACATTCCTAGAAGGCACTTTGAAAATACTGGAAATTGCAGTGTGAGAACAGTTTTCCTGCCTTGCTAGCACAAAGTGAACGTATCATTTCACCTAAACACAGAGGTGCAGAAGATCCTTTGATCTCCAGTCTCTTCCATAGTATTTGTGCTTGAGGAAAATGAGGATTGATTCAAAGGTCATGAATACAGTTTTCAGTGTTCAGCACAAAAAAAGAAAAAAAAACCCAACAAACAAACAAACAAAAAACACACAGAAAACAAAATAAAATAAAACAAAAACAAACAAAAAGGACACCAGTGCAGTTAGTTACCTGAGACACGCAAGGTCTAGTAACCAGGAATTTGGACTTTGTTTGTCACGGTCTCTAATTTTCCCTAAGGGTTCGCAGGCTACTTACACTGATGTTGATTCTTGAAAACCCTGCTCAAGGAACCCTTTTTGTTGCATCTGAAGTTTCAGATTTCCTTCTTAAAACATAACCAACAATCTCTTTACTTTTGCCTCTTAAATCATATTTATTTCACACCTCATATTTCTCTTTCGCAGTTTCCCTGCCAGGGACCTGAAAACAGCCTGTAGAGCAGGAGGAGAGAGGAACCTCAGGACTAAAGAAAGCTGTGGGGCAACGCGGGTGGGGGAAGGAGGAGGCACAGCAGGAAAGGCTGCAACATTTGAGACAGATCTACTTCTTACAACGCTCCCCATCTCCATTATGCTTCTTTAAAGAATCTCTCTCCCCCCCACCCCCCCCTCCCCACCCTCCTAGGACCCTATTAGAAAATTTCCTTACCGTGGTAGGAGTAACCATGGCATCCGTGTGAATGTTTCCAGAAAAGTCGACATGAAGAGAAAGGTGAATGTATATATGTTCATTCAAAGTCTTAAAGTTGGTCTGCTTGGGCTGTGCAGAGTTGCTCTATCGGAGAGGAGCCTTAAACTCTGAGTCCCGTGAACATAATCTGCTCGATTATAACAAACCAGCTCAGCCAGATGGCTCTGTGCTCTGCAGATTAACCCCTTTATTGCCACACTCTGCTTTTTCTACCTACCATTTAAAATAGCTTGGACTGGTTACAGACTTTCAGAGAACAAGACACTGTTTCTGAAAATGACAAACCATCATAAAGGTCATTTTTCCCCTATGTGCTCTAAAGAAAACAATTATGTGACTTTTTTTTTTTAATGCTGTTTATAATTTTCTCCTTCCTTACAAAATCTTTTCGTATTATTAAGAACAGTGTTAGCACCAGGCAACGTTTGAAAGAATTCTTTTGTTAAATCATAACCATCTCTTCTGGGCTGTGATTCTCTAAAGGCAGTAATTTATTGGGGGAATGTGTCTGCATTTTCTCTCTAATGGTCCAGTCACCTGCCTTCTGCTCCTGCTCTTTCTTTTTCCTCCTCTCTCTCTCTCTCCATTTCTCTCTTTTTCCTATGCTCTCTAACATGTAGACTCACACAGATAAATGCACAAACCCTTTGTCAGCGTGTGTTGATATTCTCACCCACATTCTGAAGTTATTATAAGACATGTAAAACAGGTGAAATAGAGAAACAGGACTAAAATGTCATAAAACTCTGCTCCCTCCTTGTGGATCCTTTTTTTCTTGTTTTCTGTTGTTTTTATTTCAAAGGGGGGCAAATGACCAAGTGCAACCAAGTCACTCCCACAATAGCAAAAAGCTAAGTGTCAGGAGAAAACTTCACTGATAAGAGTAGACCTTTGGATGAATTTGTGGTTAGATATTCCTCCTGTTTTAATTTAAAGATTAGTCCATTAAGAGAAGGTTGACAAATGCCAAAAACATGGAAAGATCATCAGCAACCAGCAGCGACTGTTTTCCAAACTTTTTATTTAGAATGCTCACTCACAGAGATGGCGGATAAATTTAGCTGCATGCCTTTAAGTCTCCCTCTAAATTTACATGCTTAAGTCATCTTTCTTTTCCATTTGATTCAAGAATAATTGAGCAAGTCCTTACCACAAGAAAGTGGTCATAGATATTGTAGAATCTTAATCTTAAAAAACACAAGCTTATTTCCTTAAATAATTCTTTACCATTTTGTGAAGTTTTTTCTTTTGTTGTTTAACCAAAGAAATTTTCCTTTTTTTTTCCCTCCCCGTGAAAAGCTAACTACCCTTTCATAATGTCAAAGTATTTTGCCATTTTTCTTCAAGACATTAAAGCGTGCCTGGTTAGTAGCCGCATATTAATTCAAATATTTTCCAGTGTGTTGGTGCTGTTTGTTATGGATGTCCTTTATCTGATCTTTTTCAATCATAAAATGGTACCATTGTAGGGAACTTTGAACGCCATACATTGTACCTGCCTTGTAAATCTGCCTGTGTTGCTTATTCCATATAAATGCCTAGACACAAAAGAAAAAGAGTAATCATCAAACACTATCTCCTATGAATATTCTTCTAAATTTGCTACTCTGCCAGATCACCAAAATCTTTAAACCTAAAAGACCTATAGAGCCTTTTCATCTTCATCTTCCATCATTTTTAGAGCTTCTTCAGTAAAAAGGAGGAAAGCACATTTCAGTTCTTGTCCTCCCCCACCAGCACTGTAGCCTGATTTGGGAAATACCTAAACTATGACTCAGCTTTTAATCTACTGAAGTAGACAAACAGTACCAGTAATAGAAAATTTTCATATAGCTGGCAAATGGTATGCTCCCCCAGAGGCAGGCAAAGGGTTAACTACCTAAAGGCAGCCCGAAGTTTGCAGTTGCAGCTAGTGCAGCAAAAAGAAGGTAAATAGTCTGCAAGTTAGACACAGATGGGCAGACTGCCTCTGATGTGAGGTAAAGCTACTAGAGCTTTGCCTTATGCATGAATTGAGGGGTTTTGCCCTGTACTTGTACCTAGGTCTTTGGCAATAAGCATGCCTCATAATTTGAGATGTGACACCTTAATCTTTCCAAACATGTATACACTACAAAAAGTATTGTAGACAGGATGTTATCATAGCTAGAGAAAAGAAGATGTTTGATACTTTCAATTTTCCATACTTGCCCCTAAAAGCTTTTTAGTTGTTTCAAAACTTATTTTTTTACTAGATATTTTTACATTTTCATCTGTTATTCTGAATGGTTTTGTAAGCCTAATCCTTCAATCCTTTGATCCTGCATTTTTTTTTTATTTTTTTTTTACACACCTTAAATGTGTTTCTCACTTTTTACTGGTAGGTAAACAACAGAGCTCCCAAGTGGTCACCTTATTTGAAGTACAGTTTTGAATGTAAACTTGTAACATATCAGTAAAAATGCATTGCTTTCGTTCAGTTCTGAAGAATTTGCAATACTGCTCTGAACATATTGTAGATAGTCATTAATTCCTGGGGATTTTAATTGGAATAACTGCTAGACAATGATTTGGTTAATTAAGCCCTTGAACAAATTTCAAAATATGTATTTTATATATATTAAGCACATTTTCTATATGTGTATTCTATATTTTTCGATATATATATGCAAATAACACACTGATTGCTTTTGATGTTAATAAATTAGAATTTTTATAGATAAGATAGGCACGTAAAGGGCTGAAGATTTTTATTGGATTTAAGGTATAATTCAAGTCATTGAATAAGGAAAGAACCTAAACCGTTAGCTTTTACAACAGCACCACGCTGTGGTCAAAGTACTGATTAGCTATTGCAGGTATACTATAGGCATTTAAGCAAGTTTGCCCAATTATCACGGCAGTTTTAATGAAAATTGACAAATAAGTTTAGTGGTAATGGAAATACTTTCCAACGATGTGTTCACTATTTATCAGAAGGTAACTTGATTAAAAAAAAAAAAAAAAAAAGCGAAGAAGAAGAAGCAACAGATTTCTGAATACTTGCCCACAATACATGAGCTCTGGACATTTTGTTCAACAATGCAGTTCAATTTATGAGGTTGTTCCTCTTTCAAACAATAACTTCCATGTTTATTTCAAGAAGCTAACAAAAGGTGTGACAACATTCCCAAAGAATATTTTCTGTGATCTGTGTGGGAAATGTTTTCTGAAAAGCAAAAAACAGAACTTCTCTTTAATTGAGGGAAACAGCACCATGAACAAAATAGATGATTAAAAATAATGCATCTAAATATTAATTTAAAAATTATCAAATGTAACATTTCAGAGCTGACAGAATTGATGAAACCTTAATGACTTTAAGCTTCCATGCACATTTCTATCAGTGCTGAACTTGGTGTCATCGGCTGCGCTCATTTCCACACATCTCTTCACTCTTTACCCAAGCTATAGAAATTATAAGTATTAAAGAGACTTTCCAAGCAAAATGAACAGACCAGGTCAAATGTGATTCTGTTGCACATTTCTTCAAAGGTTGTCCTCTATGTTTACTCCTATTAAAAATGTGGTTAAAATAATAAGAATAGCTCATAACTATCATAAAGAACTGAAGATTTTTAAAACCTGCTTGGACACAGCCCTGTGCCACGTGCTCTAGGTGACCCTGCGTGAGCAGGGGAGTTGGACTAGATGACCTCTGAGGTCCTTTCCAACCTTAAGCATTCTATGATTCTATGATCCTATGATAACAGTTAACAGATAGGATCATCAAGCATGACAGAGAAAAAACTGTATACAGAACTATTGATCTGCCAAAAGACAGGATGGAAAAATATGCAGGGCAAGAACCATGACTTAGGGTCGCATCCTGAGTCATTGCTCTTCACAGATATTCCTGAAAGCAGTATATTTTGCAGATTTAGCTCCTATGCAGTTCATCTAAAAACTTATTATCTTGACTTTAGTGGGCCCTATTTCATGATGAATATTACTAGAATGAGATTAAATAAAGTTCTGAATATGTTATTAATTTAACAAGGACTATTGTTTGAATTACATGGTTCAAGTAAAGCCACTATCCCCGTCTTGAGTGAAATATACATACAAAACAAGACAGAATTCAGACAAGATTTTAAAGTATAAGCTTACTAGTTTAATTACATGTAGGTGTCTGTACTCCTGCTTATTTAGTAGTATGCATGAGGGGACTCTTACTAGCCAGTATATAGTATGTTTTAGCAATAGGAAAAATTGCTTTGTTGTGATCACTACAAATCTCTAGTATACTGATATGTGCTATCACCTATCAGTTTTACACATACTTGTGTAACATTTCTTGCTTTTCAGTATCTAATTTTTCCAAAGATGATCTTTATTGAAGGAATTATGAAGATGCATTATGTGAAGAATATCAAGAACATGCTTAGCTGCTGATGACAGGCAAAATTTCTGGAAACTAAAAATAATGTCTTGGTAACATTAACTTTTCTTTTAGCCTCTACTTAACAGTAGTGGAACAGAATTAGTGGAACTGAATTTGCATAACTATAAAAATTCCATTTCTTACTTTAAGAAATGCTAAATAAAACGCAAGTTAAAGCTACAGCAAGAAGTTAAGCAGAATTATCTAGTTCTGTGGAAAGTGGAAAGAAAGGTATCTTAAGTTTTTAACCATCCCAGATGGGCTAGAATAAAAGTCATTTTGTTGCAAAGAAAGTAAATTCCGCGATGGAACCTCTATGGATGGAACTTCATAGCCTGCATGAACTGCATAGGAAGTACTCTGATGAGACCTCAGTTGGGACATAAAAGCCACTTCTAATCAAGTTCAAGAAAGATATGAACGGATCACAGAATATATGAAAAATGCCAGATGCAATGATGAATGTTTAAGAGACTTTTCCTGTGAGGAAAGCCTGAAAAAAATCTAGTTGTTTAAAAAGAAAAAGAGAATCTGAAAGGTGGTAGAACTGAATGCTAAAGGCTCATAAAAGGTGGAAGAGAACTCACATCTTGAGTGAAAAGAAGTAAGCTATTTATATTGCAGGAAGAGTAATTCACTTTAGGCATGAGTCAAGAGTGGAGAACACAAGCTCCAGAATA